GGTTCGGGCTGGCGGGAAGGGATCTCGGCGTCTCTTTTGGTGGTGGTTTGATGACGATGGGCTGGTAAAACCTGCGGCAAGATGATCTCCGTATGTACATACGAGGCAGGACAAGGGGTAGAAAGACTCCGCTCCCAATGGTAAAGCAGGAGCTATCATTTCTTGCTCTCTTGCAGCGGCTATCAGGCGTTGTTTTTTTTTTCGTCTCCGACTGCGGGCGATGTGACTCTATGCCGGGATCTCGCTCCCTTTGTCTGCTTCTTCCGCCGACGCAAGCCATCAGTATGAAGGCCCTTTCGAGAACAACAGGTGATTTGCACGGCTCGCTGTGGTGACGCCGTTGTCCAGAAAGAGGATGTGGGAATATTAAAAAGGGTCCCTGATTGTCCGTTTTTGCCACTATTTGATTACGGCGTAGTGTTTCGGCCGTGAGATGAGGCGACTAAGGTAGCCGAGCAGCAGCATAGGCAGATGGCATCGGTATTTGGTGGCTGGACGGGAGCAAAAAGGCAACGCTCAAGTCCATCGTTTTGGTTCCGCCCATCGTGCCTCTTCGGCGTAAACTCCACACAGAGACACACACATACACACACACGAGGTCCACACCTCTCCGTCCCGGGACCACGTAAAAGGCGATGTTCGACGATGATGATGCCCGTCTAGTATCGGGCGCGGCCATTACGTACAGAGTGCGACGCTCCCCATGGGCAGGATACGCCCTCCCCAGATCTGCAACAGATGGTTGAGCGCGACAAGCGATAACGTTTCGTGCTTTCGCTTTCTCTCCACAGAGCGTTCGTTTATTTCAGGGGTGCAAAGTCGGTTGCATGGATCGAGGAAATTGGAAATGGAGTATGGGACACGTGCGGGAGGGCGCTCGGCGGCCTTGGTTGCTTGTTTCTGCTAGTACTGCATGGCGCAATAGCATTCCAAGTGCTGACCTTGAGTCGTGAAAGACGGCCCTTCGACTCTCTCTCTCTGTGTGTGTCTTTGGTGTCTTGCTTTTTGCCCTTGTCAGTGATTTGCTTGACTCTTGTGAGCTGAAGTGATGTGGGAGTCTCTCGGTCTATGCATGCCTGTTCTGGGATGTACATATTACTACCTAGTATTCCTTTCTCGTCGTCGGACGCTGTTCGGGGTACTACTTCAAGAGTGAGACACGGGAATCGCTTGAAGCTCTCCGCGTGTGTGGAGACGGGAGGAGCTTGAGTCGCACGCTCCGGAGTCGGTGTGAACCGGCTTACTGAGTCATGGGCGCCTTGGCCTACTAGTAGTAGTATCGTGATTTGCCCAACGTCGTGGTACTATGACATTGCTTGGTGAGGAAGGATGGTTGATTGTCGTAAGTTGCGTCTTATCGGTGGTGCCCATAAGGTACGATCTGACCCAACTTATACCTACCTACCCCGCGTACATGTACTGTGCCTCGTACGAAGCTTGATTCCTCCAGCAGGTGGAGGCAGTCTTCCATGAGATACGACTATCGGGTAATACTTCATCGTCAATGTGGTCTTCACTCTCGAACTGCGCGCTGGAGTTTAGCACTCACTTATCGTCAAATGCTCGTGGACGGCAGATACTTACTGTATGAACACATTGCCATGCCCAAGACCACACCCATGACAAGTCGTCTTTGCTCGAGCAGGATTCAAAGGATCCCGAATGAATGGTTCCGAAACAGGTCTTACATACGCAGGAGCTCGTCAATCAGGTAGGCAACGCGGGTCGACCTGGTGTGCGTCTGAAGACGGCTGATGGGGCGATTCAAGTAAAATCGTCAGTCCTGCTATTCACCATATGGTCTTGCCTACCCAATTGGTAGAGGAAAGTCAAGAAGAAACGGCCTTGAATACCAGCAACATCAGATGGGATAGTTTTTTTTTTTTTTTTTTTTTTTTTTTTTTTTTTTTTTGGTGCCCTATTGCCACGGTGGAGGTGCAGTCGCGTGTCTGCATGATGCGTGAAGGGCTTTCGCAATTCGAGGCTGTTGGTGTTGCATCTGTACCTAGGTAGGTAGGTAGGTATAAATCTGCACATCGACATGAGAAACCAGTAGCAATATGACTCAAAGGGGTAGTCGACAAAGTAGACGACTGACCAGAATTCCCCTCTCCAAGAGGCTGAAGATAAAATTTGAGAGTATTGTGTCTCTTATCGTTGAAGCATAGGTAGACTTTTTGCCTTGTAAGACAGATCCCAGGGTAGCAGTCCGAGCGTTGGTGTTTTACACAGTAATAGCGTAGGGTATACGCCAACTGTATAAAGACTGCATGTGTCGTGCGTGTAGTCAACGCTCCCTCTTCTCTCTTCTGCACCATGATATGGCAAGAAAATGAGTTTCTGAAGTAGGAATAAAGTTGATTTAACCTATTCGAAGACGCCCCTTGATCTGCTGGCAATACCATGAGGCTTAGCGCGATGCACTCACTGGTTTTGGCCCTCTCGGAATGGCGTCATGTGGTGGACCAGTTCGGGAGGCTTCCGTATGCTGGGGCTGAATACCACGAGCTGCATATGCGAGAGCGAGGGCTTGTATGATAAGGAGAGTGACAGAAAGATAGGGAGGCGACTCAGGGTAATTCTGGGACATTGGTATAGGATGAAAGCAACGGCAGAGCTGAGTGTTGGTACAGCATGACGGGTAGAGGTGGATGAATGATGGTGTCAACTGCGCCATTTGCAGTCTTGATAGGTAAGTACAATTTGTCATCGTTGTCAATCGTAACAGGCATATGATTTTGTGTGACAAGAGAACATTTGTGAAGGTCGTGTGGGTGTGGGTGCGTGTAACGGTGATGCACAATACTTTGTGAACAGCACTTGCATAGGCACCAGCCAATGTTTTAAAACACAAACACTCTGCATAAAAGGGTGGCTGCTGAAAGACAATGAAGTCCTGATGACCTCGGAGAGAAATTTTCATCCTTGCTTCTTTTGAGGGAGAGGAATCAAGGCAGTGCCGCCTTGACCCGTATGTGGTTCCCCGAGCAGGAGACTTGGGCGCTGTCTGATCTCATTGTCGCCTATCTTTTGAAAAATTAAGCTCTGAAACCCAGAAGTGCTTGATCAAATGAAGAGTTTGCTCAGCACAGATGCTGCAGAGATGGGACCATGAAGAGGCCAAGGCCCTGATGGCAGATAATCAATGTTCTATGCGACGGCGAAGCAGCGGATGGTCACGATGGCCCCCACGAAGGTCACTGCGAGACACGCCTCCGCGGGCCAGAGAAGCATACAACGAACACACCATCTTGTGCCGAGTCCCGTCGTACCATTTGATCCCTCTGGAACCGCTATCTGTATTCATTACTCCACGGAATCCATCCTGTGTCACCCCAGCTCCGCGTCTGTGTAATCGGCCACTCCCCCCCCCCTTTTCCCACCACATTCCCACGATGTCAAAAGCCTCGTCGCCGAACACAAGCAAAAAAAGGCAATGTTGCGGTCTGGAATAAATCCGTGCAACCACTTGCCGTAATCAAGACTGCACAGACGCTCTGCCTTTGAAATACTAGTAGTACATGTAACGCTCTGACCACGAGGCGAGGGTACACACAGCCTTTAGCAGAAAAGGTCCGCGGCCTCTCCCGAAGACGAGACGCGGGTAGAAACGAATAACGAACTGACCAGGGGAGTGAAAACTTGTTCTCCAAGTACTAGACTATATGTTACGTCTTTGATGGAGCCGAGCCCATTCTCTGCAATCTCACAGGATGGAACCTGCGATAATATCAATTTCCCATAGAAACCCAAACGTTGGAGCAGGCTGGAATTTGCCGGGCTGCCATTGGCCAGCAGCCCATCAGCACCAAGGCGGCCATCAAGGTTCTCACCACCATGGACCTAAGCTTTGTATGGCTTTTTCTGCGTGTAACCATCAGGGTTCTCAGCCGCACTGCCCGAAAAGAGGAGAAGGATCAAGATGATGAAATGGCCTCATGAAGAGAAAGAGAGAGAGAGAGAGAATATTCTACAGAGAAGAAGACATTCTAGAAGTTTGTGAAGAGGTGAAAATTCTGTTTGAGACAAAGCATCCACTCGGCTGCGTTCTGCCTGTCTGTTTCCTCCGTCTCTAGTCCTTTGTGTTGCTTCCTCTTGCATGCACGTTATGTCTTAGTTCTCCTGTTGGTGGAGAGGAGATGCCGCCAACAGCCCATGCAATGAGGGACGAGAAAAGTCTAAATATACAAACAATCCATGCGTAAGAGAGCGATTAACGGTACAAAAGCGTCTCGCCTCCACGGGCACGCACATGGGCTTGGCCAGAAACAGAAGCCCCTTGCATCTGCTCAGCCAGGCCTCGACCTGCATCTCCTCTCACCATTCAGCCTTTCATCCGCGTACAAAGAAGAGGAGGAGTGAGGCCAGCTGAGCCTTGTTCTTGTCCTTATCCTTGTTCATACCTACCTATCAATCAGCCGTCTGTACCTGTACTTTTGTATGTCTGTCCATCTTCACATGCTGCCCTCCCTCCCTCCTCCTCGGGGGTACCTCCCACTCCTAGTCTAGGCCCAACCACACTGGCCATCATGGTTCTCGTGCTACTCGACGTGAATATCAAAACTAACGAGCCTACTTCAGCCAAGACGCAGGCCTCGGCATCGAGACCATCCGTGCGCTCCAATAGCAGCAGGCATCTCCCGAGCCCATCTCCACCCCAGTCAGGACTCAGGCCCGTTTGCTCGACGGCTGGCCAGCCTTGCTGCTGGCATGCGGGAGGGGAGGCTGAGCCGCTGCTCTGCCTATTGATTTGCCGGGGCGTTCTGGGCGTGGGATGTGGTGGAGCGGGCGTTTGACACAACTCACCTTGCGTCTGCCCTTCAAATACGCCTGCAACCCATCCTTGCCCATCCTTTTTCTCCCCCCTTCTCTTCTTCTCTCTCTTGTCTCCTATCTCTTCACCACCGTCGCATCTCTTCATTACAATAAATTCTTCATCACATCTCAGCACTCATCAACTCTTTCTCACTACTTAGTTTTGAGAAACACTCTCTGCTACCATGGCGGACGAGTTCAACCCCCAGTCTGTCGACCTCGACACGGCTGACCCCAAGGACATCATCTGCTATCTCAATGCCGGCGAGAACGAGTACAACGGACACCTGGGCCTGCGTGTGTCGGCCCTCTTCGTCGTCCTCGTCACCTCCACGCTCACGACCTTCTTCCCTGTCCTGGCTACCCGTGTCCGCCGCCTTCGTATCCCGCTCTATGTGTACCTCTTTGCCCGCTACTTTGGTGCCGGCGTCATCATTGCCACTGCCTTCATCCACCTCCTCGAGCCTGCCTATGAGGAGATTGGTCCCAACAGCTGCGTCGGCATGACTGGTGGCTGGGCCGAATACACCTGGCCCCCCGCCATCGCCATGGCCTCTGCCATGATCATCTTCCTCCTGGACTTCCTCGCTGAGTACTACGTCGATAAGAAGTACAGGATGGCCCACGTCCAGGTCGAGGGAACCATTACCACCGGCGGCCATCACGACCACCAGGGCCTTCACTCTGCTGACCAGGACCGCGCCGCCCCTCCCAACGGAAAGGCCGCGGAGCGCGTCCCCGACGCCGCTATCAGTGACAAGGGCACCCCCTCCAACGACAGCTTCGACGTCGAGGAGCTCAAGAACATTGAGGGCGACAACCAGCAGGCGGCTATGGGCTTCCAGTCTCAGATCGCCGCCTTCCTGATCCTCGAGTTTGGCGTCCTCTTCCACAGCGTCATCATCGGTCTCAACCTGGGCGTCGTCGGCGACGAGTTCAAGACGCTGTACCCCGTCATCGTCTTCCACCAGGCCTTTGAGGGCCTGGGTATCGGCGCCCGCCTCAGCGTCATCCCCTTCCCCAAGCACCTGCGCTGGATGCCCTGGGCCCTGTGCCTCGCCTACGGCCTGACGACGCCCCTTGCCATCGCCATTGGCCTCGGCGTACGGACCACCTACAACAGCGGCTCCTTCACAGCCAACGTTGTCTCCGGTGTGCTCGACGCCACCTCTGCCGGCATCCTCCTCTACACCGGCTTCGTGGAGATGCTTGCCCGCGACTTCCTCTTCAACCCCTACCGCACCCAGGACAAGAAGCGTCTGACCTTTATGCTCGTCTCGCTCTACCTCGGCTGCGCCATCATGGCTCTCCTGGGCAAGTGGGCTTGATCAATTCAAGTCGACGCTTGAGCAGGACTCTACGACCAACAACAACTAAAAAACGGTGATTGGACGGACATGATACCCGGTGAGGATTACATTGTGTATGCGCTGAGCATGCAGGGATAAGAAAAGTTTGATATACGGCTACGTATATTCTGGGGTGGATTTACTTGACGGTTTGATTGCATTATAATAGCCAACGCCTTGACGTTGACACTTTCTTAGACCGACATGCATTTGCGGCGCTTTCAGCTTGATTAGGTAGTCCGGTTGAAATTAATTCATCTATATGTTCTCAAATCCCCTGTTCGTACATTCATGCATATGATCGTTTTATGGCTCACTTCAGATGGTGTAGATGAGCTTCACGCCGCTGACCCTATCGTTCCTCAGCTCATCCAGGCCCTTCAAGACGCCCTCGAGACCACTTCCGCCGCGGTTCACCTCGATCCTCGCCGGCTTGACCTTGCCCTCACGGAACAGCTGCTCCGCCAAATCGCGCCACTCCTTTGCGAACTCGTTGTCCTCCGCGCTGCCATCAGACTTGGCGCCGTACCGCTCGTACGGCTTCCCAAAGATGGAGTAGCCCAGCGTCGTCAGCACCTCAATGTTGGGGTTGATGGAGTGCACGACGGAGGTGTCGATGCCCAGCAGCATGCCCAGCTTGCCGCCCTCGTCGGACAGCGCGCCGGCGCAGATCTTGGCCGAGGCGTTGAGCGAGATGCAGTCCCACGCGACCTTGAGCTTGTCGCCCGCGGCGGCGCGGATGTCGTCCACGACGGTGGGCGAGCGGTAGTCGAAGACGGCGTCGGCGCCGAGGGATTTCAGGTACTCAAAGTTGTGCGGGCGGGCGGTCGTGATGACCTTGTAGCCGGAGAGCTTGGCGAACTGGATGCCGAGGATGCCTGAGGCGGTGCTGCCGCCGTAGATGAGGAGTGGTTCCGGCGTTGGGAGGGGGTCTGAGGGGAGGGCGAGCTTGAGGCTTTGGTAGAGGCCTTGGCCCTGGTTTGGTGGGTTAGTGGATTGGGGTTCGAATTTGTGAGGATGAGAGAAAAAGGAGGGGAGAGAAAGGACGTACGACTGTGAAGGTTGAGATGCCGAGGGAGGCGCCCTCCTCATCGCTGAAGGGGTTGTGGAACTGGACGTCTGCTTGGCTGATGCAGTATTCAGCGTATGAGCCGTCTTCGTGCTCAACGGCGTTCCTACAGATTTGTTAGTCTCCCCTTTACACATAACCGACTTCTATATACACAGTCTCCAAAGGGGGGAGGGCATGCAGCTTGACAAGGAGAGAGTCTTGCCAATTGTTTGGGTATATAAGCAAGGGTGAAGAGACTCACGATCCAGGGTTCATGCCCGCAATCCGATCCCCAACCTTGAAGTTGTCCACGCCATTCCCCACGGCGACAACCTCGCCCGCAAAGTCGCACCCGCTCCGCGCGCCAATGGACTTGGGGTCTTCATAGTCGATGGACTTGTAGTCGGTCGGGTTGATGGCGACGGCCTTTGTCTTGACCAGCACGAAGCCGTCGCGGAGCTTTGGGAGGGGGACGTCTTCGATGACGGCCTTGCCGGTGGACTTTTTGACGATGGCCTTGATGGTTTGGGGGAGCTGCGTCATTGTGAGTTGTTGTTGTTGTTGTGTTCTTTTTGGTTCGGTGTTAATGTGTGAGACGGGTTTGAGATGCTACTGCGGTGGATTGAGAAGAGATTGCTGGATTATGTATTGGAGTTGGTGAATGCAAGAGACTTCTTTGCTGGGAGTAGGTGGTTGTCTTCAAGGCGTCTTGATGGTTTATATATCTTTTTTTTTTCACTGATAGGGGCGTGGGGACGGACAAGAACTGGGGATGCCGCCTTCATGGTGGATCAGTCGGTCATACATATGCAAGTTACCTGGGTAGTATACATTGACGATATCCACATTTGACAAGTCTTTTCTGTTTCCAAAGTTGCGTGATCCTACTACAGACTATGTACGTACTAAGGCAGGGAAAAGGGGGTAAAGAGACAAGGAAGCTACATACTACATCAGGATTCTACCTTCAAGACCCTCACTTGTGCAGCAACAGTATCACCCCCCGGTGTCTCAACTCTGACATAGGGCAGTTCGGCATCTTCTGGTCACTGTTGTCTTAATTCGGTAATTGTTGAATTGGCCAGTTAGAATGCTGCGCTAGGCGATTGTGTTCTAGGATGATGATTTACCCCGGACTTCTTCGGGGTTGTTGTTGGGCTGCTTGGGGGTGAGGCTTGTGTCTATTGGGTACATGGCGATGAGTCGTATGCTAAATTTGGCTTGGACAGACTCAAAAGTGCGGCAGAAGTTGCCCAGTCTCTTCCGTAGTGTGGTTTAGTAATGCTTCGATTGGAATAGATAGAAGGACATGCAATTTCGTACTATGAAAGAGGAGCATGTCGTGCATGACAAATTGACGTGACCCCTGGACGGGATCGAATCTCTATTATTAAGTTGTCAGAATTCAATCTGGGTCAGCCAGTGTTAATAATCAACCAGACACGATTCATGTCATTCTCCAGGTTATGTCCTAAAATCCTTCGGCGATTCGGCAATGTGATGGCACACTATGTAATACTACATTGTTGTATGTACTGTGATTGGAGGGTCTGCTTTCTTTTCGTTTCCACACTGTCTTCTATTACTATTCCATTGCCGAGATTTGTCCTACAATCAGCACAGTATAGTCGTAGAGTTTTCTAAGTTGATGTGTTCTTGTCTTAGCAAACTTTTCCTTATAGGGGTATGGGGGGTGGGTTCGGGGTCTGGGAGGAGTCGATGGAGTTCTGCTGCGTTCCGGAGCAATGGTTCCCTTTGTGCTAAGATCTTGATGCTTTGTAATCTTTGCGTCATGGATGCTCCGCTCTGTAGACTGAGGAGGATCCCAAGCCATGACCAGGAGCTGAGCTGTAGTAACTACGAGAGTTGGAGTGGTTCATCACTACACCTCCTATCAAGACGCCATGTATTTCTGAGGGGTGTTTTACAATCTATTATACACTGAGAATGACTGTTGCTTCATTCATCATCAACAAAGGTTCAAGCTGACGAACCAGCCGTCTTCCGTCCAGGCTTTCAAGACAGCGCGGCATGGCTTTTACGTGATGCACATAAACCTCTTGTGCCCGTGTAGTACAGGACTTGAACATTCATCGCCAGCTGCAAAGGGCACACCACCCTTTCAGAACCGCGAAATGTCTCGCCCAAACACCCACGACACGAACCAATACACCGGCACCATCATCTTGTTCCGCAAACTCATGCTCCTCGTCAGATACGCACCTCGCCACACAACCCAGGCGACCCATCCCCGCAGCTCGTCCGCAGAGCTCTGGTGAATCGCCTTCCAGCCGCCGAGGTATGTCAGCGTGCCCCAGTTGCGGAACTTGAACGGCTTCCAGGTGCTGCTGACGTCGACCGAGTCGAGGGAGCCGTTGTGCGTGGCCTTGTTGAGGTGCTTTGCCAGGTAGCCGGCCTGTTGAGCGGCTACTTGGGCTGTTTTCGGGAGGGACCGGTCGTGTTCGTTGACTGCGCAATCGCCGATAACAAACACGTCCGGCATGACGGGCTTTGCTGTGGCACCGGCGGTGTCGTGAGGTTGTGAGGCCTCGTTGTCGGTGATACGAGCACGAAGGTAAGCGTCGGTCAGGATGCCGCCTGTTTTGGCGTCTTTCACGAGACGGCGTCGCTGCGCGTCTTGTCCCTTCTGGTGATCTGTGTCCTCGGCGAGTGCAAACTCCTTGCCGACCAAATGTTCCACAAACGGATTCTGCATCAGTCCCGTGCTCCAGACGACCAACCCGGCGTTCACCTCCTCGCTGTACTCCTTGATCTTGATGCTCAGCCCACCATGTGCACTCCCCAGAGCTCCGTCCGCTATCCTCACACGCTCCAGATGGTGCTGTGTCCGAACCTGGATGCCCTGCCGCGCAAACGTATCCATGGCGTACTGCGCCAGCGCCTGGTCAAACATGGGCAGCACCTTGGGCGCGATGTCGTAGACGGTGATGCGAACCAGCGGCATCAGCTCGGGATACAGCCTCTTCAGGTCCTCGTGGATCAGGTCGTGCAGTTCCGCGGCAAACTCGATCCCCGTGGGACCGCCGCCGACAATGACAAAGTGAAGCAGCGATCGCTTGTCGGCCTCTGAGAGCGAGCCTCCTGCGACATGTGTGCTGCTGCTGCCGCCGGCCGGAGAGGTTGGATAAGAGCATTGTTCGAACAAAGAGAGGACGCGTAGGCGGATACGGCGCGCGTCGCCCACGTCTCGTAGGAAGTGCGCATGTTCCCTCACGCCTGTGATGCCAAAGGTTTGGCTGTAAGCTCCCACGGCAATGACGAGCTTGTCATACTCGACGTTGAAGATTTCGCCCTTTTTGGCCTCCTGTTTGACGGGCACCGTTGATGATAGTACTTCGCTGGGGAGGCCGTCGACGGCATTGGCCTCGACCCGGATGACTTTCCGGGAGAAGTCGACGTCGTCGGCCCAGCCTTGGTAGAAGCGCACACCTCCGGGTAGACGCCGGACAGGCTCAAGAACGGCTCTGAACTCGAGGGTTCCGACGGATGTCGAGGCGAGGAGAGGCGTGAAGACGAAGTAGCCGCGGGGAGAGATGACGATGCGGTCGAATTTGGCTGGGTCGAGGGTGCGGGCGAAGCTGTATCCCGCCCATCCGGAGCCCAGTATCACGACTCTTTGTTTCTTGGTCTCTGGGAATGAGAAGTTGGAGCTTACAAGTGCAGTGTCATGATGGTCTCTGGAGCTGAATTTACCTTGCCTGGGTATTGTCTGAATGCTATAACATCTTGGACACCTGCTGGAGATTCGGTGAACACGGGAGTAGGCTTTGCCGAGGTTAGCTCGTCGTGCTGGGGATGTGAGTGCATGCAGAGATGTGGTTCGGCACATTGAGGCACTGGACATTTTCACAGCTCACAGATCGGAAGAGCAATCACATAAGAATCATCTACAAGACGAACATCTTACATTCAACATAGAGTAAGAGATATTTTAAATCTTTCTCTTAAGGCGCGTCAGTCTGATGCCGGCGTGGCGTCAAGCCCCATAGGGGGACGTTACTCACCCTTAATGTTATTTCGCCTCCGGTTTTACCCTATGGCCCATAGAATTTGGAATCCTGAGGCTCGCAAATAAGGCATCCTCGTGTATAGCTCTGGCATAATCATTTCCTCGACTGTTTGTACAAGTATGAATGCATTCTGTATGGAATACATAATAAGTTGTCCCTTGGCCACTCAGCTCGGAGCAACTTCAATTTCCCTTGCCCAACAGGCTCCATGCAGGTACGGCATTCTCATACAGCCATCTCGCACGTATTACACAACCACCAATCCCTGCCTAGACAAATCCCTCGTGTTGTCCGTCCTCGATCTCGCAGCTCTCTCAACGGTCACCAATCTCAGTCAGATAGCTTACAGGACTTTCAATCTGACGAGCACCATCTTCCCATTATCTCCCCGCGGATTGTCGTTGCTATCTTCAGCAGTGGGGGTTATACGTGCTTGAGATACGACCCGGCAATATGGAGCCATTGATATCAATTGTTTCCGACGGCTCCCTCAATCATCGAGTAGGAAGGACACATGACGATCTCTGCGGCACCGGCTATTAGCTGCTGCATCTAGTAGTCCGGTAGTATCGTATCTCTTCGTCTTCCCCACACTCTGTATAACGGCGGAACGGGATACGATGCCATTCAGATGCCTGTTTGATATCTCCCCCACCTCAACATATGGAGCTGAATCCCCCAGACAAAGACAAGCCGGGTGCCCTATCTCAGCTGTAGCGCTGTGCAACCAATGCCGTGCTCAATTGCCTGATATGAATGTGATGCCGAGTAACTTGACTGCAGCAAATCGGCAGCACGGAAAACACGAAATCCCCATCCTGTCAGGTCATGTCTTATCTAGTTGCTGCGAGATCAGCCATCTTCCTGGTTAAGGAATGTACAGGGATGACTATCAGTGAGGAGAGAGCGGGGTTCGGCCAATGTGCATGCGAGCACCTACGGATCGAGGCCGACGGAATGAACACAGTAGGATGTGGTGGTAGTATCCAGATTTGGCCACCTTCCATGCTTTAATAGACCTGCTGCTCCCATTTCTTGGGAGCCGTAAAAAGTACCATCTTGACTTTGTTAAGTCTTCGATTTGTGTGGCTCACTCAAGATGGCTACTGACACGGTGGACAAGACGGAAAAGCTCGATCTCGAGCAGACGCCGACTCTGGGTGTTGCGGAAAAGGGCGAAGTCATTCAGCTTGATGCCGATGAGGCACTTAATGCTGTTGCTGGTCTGGATACGGCCGCTTTGCGGCTTGACGAGGAGACGGAGCGGCGGCTGCTGCGCAAGATTGACTGGAACCTCATGCCTGTAAGTCACATCTATCTGGAGAGGAACTTTTCGCATTGTTGATGATCTTTGTTTTGCAGCTCATGTGTATTGTCTATGGCCTCAACTATCTTGACAGTAAGTCAATCCGACGCGAAAATGTGCTGCGCTTCTGACCTTTTGGTAGAAACAACACTGTCGTATGCGAGCATCATGGGCCTGAAAGAAGACCTCAAGCTCAAGGGCGACAACTACCAATGGCTGTCAAGCCTGTTTTACTTTGGTAAGCTCACTAAACAAGACCTGTTTGCGGCCTCTTTCATTCATTCTGTTTCACGTAGGATACCTGGGCTGGGAGTTTCCCACGAATCGTCTGTTACAGCGTCTTCCTCTCGCCAAGTACTCCGCCTTCAACATCATCATGTGGGGAATCGTCCTGTCCCTCTTTGCTGTCACGGAGAACTTTGGAGGAGCTGTTGTCATTCGACTCTTCTTGGGTATCTTTGAGGCAGCTGTGACGCCAGGTTTCGCTCTGTTTGTATCCCAGGTATGCTTCGGTGCTCGGAGAACGTATACGGATAATACTGACAGGGTTGTGTAGTGGTACACTAAGAAAGAGCAAGGCTTCAGAACGGGTATATGGTTCAGCTTCAACGGATGGGTATGCTTATTGAAACCTTACTCGTCTTGGAGACCGGTGCTGATCATTTGTAGGCCCAGATCTTTGGCGGCTTGGTAGCGTACGGCTTCGCCCACGGCGCCTCGACTTATGGCTTCTCCATCGCCCCGTGGAAAGCAATTTTCGTTTTCACAGGCGTCTTGACAAGCACCATCGGCATCATCTTCCTCTTCATCATGCCGGACAATCAGCTCAACGCAAGATTCCTCACCAAGGAAGAACGCTTGCTAGCCATTCACCGCATCAAGGTCAACGAGCAAGGCATTGGAAACAAGCACTTCAAGTGGTATCAGGTCAAGGAAGCCCTTACCGATCCCGCCATCTGGGGGTTCGTCTTCTATGCGCTGGTTGCGGATATTCCCAATGGCGGCATTTCCAACTTCTTCAGCCAGCTGATTGTCTCCTTTGGGTATACGCCGCAGCAGAGTCTGCTATATGGAACGCCTGGTGGAGGGGTGGAGGTTGTCGCTCTGCTGCTCTGCGGATACTTGGGTGATCGCATGGGGAGTCGAATCTTGGTGTGCATGTCTGGACTTGTGGTGGCCATGGTTGGGGTGATTATGATTGTCGCTATACCGTTGGACAAGCCTGCCGGTCGACTGGCTGGCTACTATCTCACACAGGTAAGTTGCCGGTTGCTGAGGATGGAGTCGAGTGTGGACTGGACTAACGGCAAACCAGGCGAGCCCGACCCCGTTTGTTGCGCTCTTGTCATTGATCTCTACCAATGTGGCTGGTGAGTACAGGATGATCGAAGCTTGTCATATCACATATTAACACATGAGCAGGATGGACCAAAAAGACGACAGTAGCAGCAATGTATCTGGTTGCATACTGTGTTGGAAACATCATCGGTACGATTGCATCAGACCTCCTTTTGACCACCCTTGTTGACTCTTTTCCAGGGCCACAGACTTTCCGTCCGGAAGATGCACCAGAGTATCGACCGGCTGAAATAACCATCTTGGTCTGCTGGGGCGCTTGCCTGATCGATCTTGCTTTCATCTGGTGGTACTACCGCCGGCAGAACCTCAAGAAGAGCCTTATTCGGGCGGATCCGTCTTATACCAAGGTTGAGAACCAGGAGTTTCTCGATATGACGGACAAGGAGAATGCAGAGTTTCAATACTCTCTGTGACGGAGTAGGAGAAAAAGAAGAAGTGTACATGTATCATGGGAACAAAGAACAGAACACAATACGTATCAATACTTCATGTTTCGTGATCTCAATCGTGTCCGGCATTTTGCGTGTGCGTTCTTCTGACGACTACTGGCCCAGTCGGCATCGGTATTCTACAGGACCAGTTATTCCCGAATTCCAAGTATTAGCATACCAGCCTTCTTAGTTACCTGTGACTCTGTGAGCCACAGTAAGCATTGTAATCATATTATTCTAGGTAATCATCAGCACTTTGCTAACCAAGACTCTCAGAGAAGTCCACAAGCCCTGCCAGCTTTGTAGCCGTAGCCCTCATATGTGAACTTATTGACGAACGAAACGGCCAATGCATTTTCATGAAAGCAACGCACTTGGACTACTCGAGCATTATCCGAGTAATATGCCCTGTTAGTCGTCTGCACCTATTTTCTCACCCGCATGTCCACAGTCGCCCAATTCACAAGGTGCACCAACGGCTGCAGTTTTTCCATGTCGGCATTTCTAACTCCTTTCAATAGTCTACGGGTATAATTCGCGGACGAACCCGGCCTTAACAAGATTTCCGTTCCCGAAACTCTACAATATTGGAAAATCAATGTCTGGCGAATGTCAGCTTAGATGCTAGGTAGCTCATTGGGCTTCAACCTCGACGTGCTCGTACATGAAGCAAGCAATCCATCGTCTTCCCTTTCATTGTATAAATGCCACCTGTCCTCTTGCAATGTATCTAGAATCAAAGTCCTGCAGAGCGTAGAGATAAAGCATGAGACAGCCGCTTACCATCCACCGGACTGAAATCACTTGAACAAGACAATGTCTTCCATCACCGCTGGCCCCGAATATCACACCCCGCCTCCGCCAGGAGCTTCTTCCACAGCAACAATCGAGCAAGATGCACCAGCTCTCCTCGAATTGCACCGTCAAGTGCCCGACCTTCACATCTACACCGCCACCTCTCCCGACTTTGACGCCTTGAACAGAGTCAACGACAGATCCATCACCACCCTCCCTCTAGCTACCGTTCGCCCAGCAAATGAACGCCAAATTGCAGCAGCCGTGAGTTACATATCTCAGAATGGCTTGACGTTGGCCATTCGCAACTCGGGAGTAGACCAAGGCGGTCGAAGTCGCGCCTACGGACCAAAGGACGTCTCGCTTGACGTCCGTTCAATGAACAAGATGGTGCTTTCTGCTGACCGGAGCACGGTGACGATTGACGGAGGCGTCACGGGAGGAAACCTGTTGCGATTTCTAGACAGCCATAGACTCACCACACCGACGGCATTTTCAACCACTGTTGGCTACGTTGGATGGGCTTGTGGCGGGGGCTACAGCTCTTTGAACGGCATCATGGGCATGGGCGTGGACAACATCCTCGGCGGGAGAGTTGTCCTGGCTGATGGGCGTGTCATGGATACGGACGATGCCGACTGCGATCCGGATCTGCTGTGGACTCTTCGCGGAGGCGGTGCCGGCATCGTTGGCGTCGTGTCTTCTCTTCGAGTCCGTGTTCATCGGCGTCCGGACTGCTTGGCCGGGCTCATCATGTTTCCTCTGGAAGAAACACCGCAGATTGCCCAGAAGCTGAGCGAGTTGTACGCGTGGAAGAAACCACCAAAGTTTGCGGGGGACACAGCCGTCATGAAAGGGCCTGAAGGAGACGGGGCTTTGTTCTCTTTTCTTTTTCACTGGTCTCTGGAGGACGATGGGAGTGATCTTGACGAGGCCAAGGATTATCTCGAGCGAGTCGTGAAGATGGGAACCGTTATCCTGAATACGGTCGCAGAAAGTAAGATCATCATCATTCTGTCAGTCATGCAAGCGTTGTATAAGTTCGAGCTGACAGTCCAAACAGCCACGCCATACGCTTTCCTCTTGTCAATCCCCATGCCCGTGCTCTACGCTGATCTCGTCCACCATAAACGAACAATCTCGGTACCCGGGTGGTCAGAGGAACTCGGCCGCATCATATCCGAGCCATTACCGACGCCCACATCAATCATCATCATGCACGACAGCCACGGAGCCGGCACGCGAGCCTCTGGAGCCGCTCTGGAAGAAAATGCAGCTTTCCAGAATCGCGAGCCGCACTTGATGTTTGGGTTCTTTCCGTCCGCGCATCCTGATGACAAGGAGGGGATAGAGAAAGGAAGAGCGTGGGCGGACAGACTGTTTGATGGCGTGACGAATGCTGGGCTTGCTATGCCTTCGCATTATATCAACTTTTCGACGCCTGCAAAGGGGGATGGTTTGGGGTATTATGGTCCGGAGGGTATCGTTCGGATCAGAGCTGTTAAGCGTCGACTTGATCCCTCCAACTTGTTTGCCAAGAGCACGCCTGACATAGCAGACACATAGATGTTTTCGAACCGTATGTAGCTCTTCTTAGAACTTCCACGCCAATTTGCAATTTGCTCAGCGACTTTTAACCAAGTGCTTTGTTGGCCCGGATCCTCATGAAGCGATTGTCAGTGAATGAGCCCTCACGAGTCCGATGTGAAATCCTCAGCCGACTGGTGAGAGGCACCCCCCTTCCTGCCTTCACTTTAACGTACAGTCTCAACTATCTGATAATGTCAAACAAGTACTGTTGATAATGCAGCTCAGCATGCCACTGGATTTCAAGGTAGTGTTGTACTTGTACAACTCCGGCAACCCCTCGCTTTCGGGATTATCATGGGCATTTGCATGCGGGGGAGCAGCTTGATCATCAGCTTCGTCAAAGGCAGAACTGGTGCTGACAGTCTTGAGCGACGGTGCTCCTTGAGGACGCATATGGTATGTCCAAAGCACACAATCGGGGACAGATATCGCAAACAAATCCATCTCTGGCTGCAACCGTCAATGTCAAGTTGTCTCCTTGGATGCTTTTATTCTACTACGACCCATCATGTCAGTTATACCAGGAGACTATCTAGAAAGAGTCTATGCAGGAGTCCTCGGCAAACTCATCGGCGTCTACGTCGGACGGCCCTTTGAAGGCTGGACTCACCAGCAGATCGTCACACAGCTCGGCCACATCCGCGGCTACGTCCACGACAAAGTCGGCGCTCCCCTCGTCGTCACCGACGACGACGTCTCGGGCACTTTCCAGTTCGTCAGGGCCCTGGAAGAGCACGGCTACTCCCCCGACATTTCGCCCGAGCAGATTGGCAAAACTTGGCTGAACCATGTCATTGAGAACCGGACCATTTTCTGGTGGGGAGGAAGAGGCATGTCCACGGAGCACACTGCCTTTTTGAACCTGAAGCGAGGCATTCCTGCACCGCTGAGCGGCGCCATCGAGACGAATGGCAAGACGGTTGCCGAACAGATTGGCGCGCAAATCTTCATCGACGGCTGGGCTATGGTTGCTCCTGGGAATCCCAAGCTGGCAGCCAAACTCGCTCGCGCTGCGGCCTCGGTCAGTCATGATGGAGAAGCCGTGTATGCGGCCCAGCTGTGGGCTGCGATGGAGGCGGAAGCGTTTGTCTCGAGGGACATCAACCACATTCTCGATGTCGGCCTTTCTTCCATTCCCGCAACGTCGCATGTTGCCCATGTGATAGGCAAAGTACGGACGTGGGTTGCCGAGGACGGAGACTGGACCAAGACTCGCCAGAGGATCGAGGATGAGTTTGGTTACGACAAGTTCCACGGTATCTGTCACGTCATTCCCAATCATGCTATCATGATTATGACGGTGCTGTATGTGAGCGACGACTTTGATGAGGCTATGCACATCATCAACACCTGCGGCTGGGACACAGACTGCAACTCTGGCAACGTGGGCTGCCTGGTGGCCATCATGCTCGGCCTCTCCGCATTCGAAGGGCCGTTTGACTGGAGAGGACCTCTGGCGGATCGCGCTCTCATCTCCAGCGCCGATGGAGGGTATTCTATCAACAATGCTGCCCGGATAGCCTATGATATCGCCAACATTGGGCGTCGCCTGGCTGGCCATGAGGATCTCAAGCGTCCCAAAGGTGGTGCTCAATTTCATTTTAGCCTTCCTGGAAGCACTCAAGGTTTCCAGCTTTCATGGGCATCTACCGCTGGAAGAGGTGTCTCATCAGCTTCGTTACAGCAGCGGGTTGACGGCTTACATGGTCCTGGTCTGGCCATTGATGTTGAAAACTTGGACGAGCAACATGGCCAACTCGAGGTTCTCACACCAACATTCACCCCGAAAGAGGTTCTGCAGATGAAATCGTACGAATTGATGGCGTCGCCACTGGTGTATCCCGGCCAGACAGTCACAGCCAAACTCCGTGCCAGTGGTGTTGGGGAGGTAGTCGTTGGGCTGAGGCTGAAAGTGTATAGTCAGAACGACGAATTGATTACAGTTGATGGGCCATGTACTGACTTCAGTTCTGGAGAAGAGCATCCGCTGACCTGGACAATCCCTGACGAGATGGACAGCCAGCCTATCCAGATGATTGGCATCGCCATACGTTCAGGCCCGTCAAGCTCTTTCAGAGGCACCGTTTGGCTCGACAGCCTCTCTTGGACTGGTGTGCCCAATATGGTGATTCGACCACCATCTCAGAAGCCATGCGAGTTTTGGCATCGAGCGTGGGTCAATGGTGTCGACACCTTTAGTAGCTGGGCCTTCATCATTGCTCAGGGGCAAGGCGAGGGCATCATCATCCACGGAACAAGAGAGTGGGACAATTATAGCGTCGCCGTTCCCAATCTGATGGTCAAGTTTGGTGCTCCAGCTGGGCTAGCCATCAGGGTCCAGGGCCTCAATCGTTACTATGCCGTCTTCTTCACAGGGGACAAGAAGATTGCCTTGGTCAAAGCACTCGACGAAAAGAGGATTGAGCTCGCAAGTGCAGCGTTTCCGTGGGAGTTGGACCGGAAATATCGAGTGGCGCTGACGGCTTGCGATGGTTCGATTCGAGCTCGGGTTGATGACGTGGAACTGCAGGCTGTTGATGGACAGTATGGCGGAGGAGGGATTGGGCTTGTGGCCACGGATGGTTGTGTGTCTGCAGATTGTTTTATTATTGCTCCTGTAACTTGACAGCATATGGCTGGGCCATGATAATGAGGCAAAGCACGAGTCGAGAAGAAGTTGCAAAATAATGTTCTTTGGTAGGCTGTTCGTGGTTGTAGGTAGAGACTACATCACAATGGATCAATGCTCAAAATGCCGGGTCGACTCTCAGCTTCGGCTACTCGATACCGAAAGCAGATCGGCACGTGGACTTAGCGCCAAACTGGCCCCGATCGCGCAGTGAAACCAGATCCCTAAAGGCGATGTAATCTCGCAGCTGCAGCGAATGGGCGAGCTCGCTTCCCAATCGAGAGCCGCTAATGGAGCTGCTGTGGCGCCATGACCTCATGCATCTTCAGTGGTGACGGTGCTGTAATTATTTTGCCCGTACCTGCAGCTGCTGCTCAGATTGCGACTGGATTCTTGTGCTCCCTTCCATCTGTTGACTTATCCCTTCTTTTTTCGCCTCTTCCACCAGCAACATTCTTCCACTCCTCCAGCTTCACAGGTCGCTTCCGCACTCACCTGCCTGTCGGCGCAGCCATCGCGATGGGTGAAGCAGAAAAGTACCGGCAGGGTGACCCCGAGCAGCAGTTCCAGAACCCAGGGCAGAGCCAGTATCAGTATCAGAACCAAGCGCCATACAACCAGGGATACAACAACAACAACAACAATGGCTACAATCCTGGCGCTCCTCCTTATAACCCGGCCTACAACAGCAACCAACAGCCTGTCAATGGCCAGTATCAGGATCATCCGTATGGCCCTCCGCCGCCCTACAGCTTCAATCCTCCGCAACCAAACGACGAGAAATACTCCTTCAATGATGCTTTCAAGCTGGAGAAGCCCAAGTACAATGATCTATGGGCGGGACTCCTTGTACGTTATCGCGACTGCCTTACTCATGCTTGTATGTCTTGATGCATTGTCTGACCATTGACTGTTGTCAACTTCAGTTTCTCCTTGCCTTTGCAGGCTTTGTCGCCATCTCGGGCATCGCGATCCACGGCTACAGCAGCGGCTTCCACGGCGACGGCATCTACAATGACCTCAACAGCTTCTCGCTCAACAGCAACACCATTATACTCTTCGCCTTCTGCCTCGTCATCGCCTTTGTGTTCTCGTACGGATACGTCTGGCTGGCGCGCATCTTTCCAAAGCAGTTTATATGGGTCACTGGCATCCTCAACCTGGCTTGGGCGCTCGGGACGGCCATCTTCTACTTGATCAAGGGGTACTGGTCTGGTGGGATAGTCTTCCTCATCTTTGCCGTTTTCCTCATCTTTGCGTTCTGGACCTGGATCGGCCGCATTCCCTTCTCGGCGCTGATGCTCAAGACGAGCATCGATGTCAGTAAGAAACATGGCCATGTCTACATCGTCAGTCTCATTGGAGGCCTTGTGGCCACGGCGTTGGCTGCTTGGTTCTCAGTCACGCTGGTCGCCATTTACGTCGCCTACGAACCATCGCCCGACAATCCACGATGCTCCGTCTCGGGAAACAATTGCAGCCACGGGAAGGTGATTGGCCTCGTCGTCTACATTACATTTGCCATGTTCTGGATCTCCGAATGGCTCAAGAACACCGTCCACACTATTATTGCTGGTGTCTACGGGTCCTGGTACTTTTCACCGCACAACTTCCCCAGGAAGGCCACCCGCGGTGCCGCCAAGAGAGCACTCACATATAGCTTTGGCTCAATTTGCTTCGGCAGTCTGATAGTGGCCTTCATCCAATTCCTGAAGCAAGTGTGTAGCGTTGCTCGGTCTCAGGGCGCAAACGAAGGCGGTGCCGGCGGCATGATTGCCTATGTCATCTTCTGCATTCTCACATGCCTGATCAGCATCATCGAATGGGTCGTGGAATTCGTCAACCGATACGCTTTCTGTCACATTGCACTCTACGGCAAAGCGTACATTGCCTCTGCCAAGGACACCTGGAGGATGATCAAGGATCGCGGCATTGATGCCCTGGTCAACGTAAGTCATCTTGCCCTCGACACTAGAAGTACAATCACTAACTGACGCAGGACTGTCTTGTCGGCCCTGTTCTCTCCTTTGGTGCCATCTTCATTGGCTATGCATGTGCCCTCTTTGCTTACCTCTACCTCCTGGAGACTGACCCTCCATACAACCGCGACGGGGGATTCACAGCCGTTATCATGGCCTATGCGTTCCTGATCGGCTTCCAAATTGCGCACATCTTCACGACCCCGTTGGGAAGTGGTATCGATACCATTTTTGTTGCTGCCGGCTGGGATCCGCAGGTCATGATAAGGGACCACCCAGAGCTGTATCAAGAAATGGTTCGGGTCTACCCAAGGGTTCAGCAGGCCATTCGTTGAGTTCACTCAATTGAGAAGGCGAAGGGGGGAAACAGATAAGCAGACTTTCAATATAGTTATTCTGTGCCACGTTGAGAGAAAATGAAATCTATAGTCTTAGCTTCTCCTTTCGCCTAAAGAACTGACTTACAACATTCCATGACTGTGATTCAGTCTCATCGATGACCTTCCTTTAGCCCTTGTATACTGAAATTTGGAGCATTGGGTGATACAGTCTCAAAAGTATGCACATTCATGGAAAAGGGTATGACGCAAAAGCCTCCTTATTCTTCCATAAAAAACAAATTACGCTCTCTCTAATATAAACTCTACTTGAAAGCTCAGAAGCGTCCATTCTCCCAATAGCATATCACACAGTTGCTCAGTTGGCACTGCCCGCGTTGGTCAACAGTCCACAGGGGCCATTGCTAACAGTCGTCCCCGAAGCGCCCTGCTGCGTGTTGAACCGGTCCGAGGCAGTGAACTGGTTCGCATGACAGACGCCGTCGGTGCCGACGACGAGGAAGCACGTGCCGCTGGCGAAGGAGATGGACCCCCTGCAGGCGTTGGTGTTGAAGCAGGAGACGCAGCAGTCGTAGGGGCTGAGGGTGCCGCTGACGGGGATGAAGGTGCCGGGCTGGCTGGTGCTGACGCTGGCGACGCCCTGGCCGCCGTTGGCCTTGGACACGAGGTTGTCGGGGCCGCAGACGGCTTGGAAGGTCTGCTGGGGGGCGACGACGGATTCGGTGGCTGTGGGTGATGATGAGCAACTCTGTTGTTTCCGCGGGCCATGGGTTTTTCTTCAGGAGAGGGGGGGCAAGGGCGGGAGGGGGAAGGGAAGCAGGCAAAAAGAGAAAAGAGGTTGACTTACTGGTGGAAGTGGTGGTGGTTGTGGTGGTGGAATCGGTTGCGGAGGTGAGGACGGTGGTGGTGGTTGCGGTCACCGTGCTGGTGATGTCGCAAGGGTAGACGGTCTCGGTCTGCGTCTGCTGAAGCGTCGTGGTGACGGTCTTGGTCTTGGGCCGGGCGGTCCTTGTGTGAGGCCTGGCGGTGTACGTGACGCGCTTGACGACGATGGGCTCGATGAACTTGGTGCAGGACACGGACTGCGGGTGCAGAGGGGGCCAGAAGACGGGACCGTGGGGGCCGCCCTTGCACTGGAGGGTGTCCTTGCTGCGCTCAAAGAGGCTGTTGCTGCTGCTGGCGGCGTCGACGGAGCGGCCCTTGATGCGGGGGACGAAGCCGGGCTCCTGGGCGATGGGGGTGAAGTCGGCCGGGGCGGCGATGGTGGTTGTGGGGGTTGTTGTCACGGTGGTTGTGTCTGTTTCGGTGTCTGTTTCGGTGACAATGTTTGTTGTGGTGGTGTATGAGGTGCCTTTTGTATGATTTCCGTGTTAGGTTTTTCTTGATCTGTTGAAGGTTGTGGGAGGTTGTTGGGATGAGGGTTTGTTCTTACTTGTGGAGGTGATGGTGGCAATGTCAGTGGAAGTAGGCTCCGTAGTGGTCGTGTGGACGACGCTGGTGATGGTCTTGGTCTTGGTCTTGGTCGGCGTCACGGTCGGGTGAGGCGTCGTCGTGTACTTCTCGGTGAAGGTGACGGTCCTCGTCTTGTAGTTCCAGTGCGTCTGGACGTGGCGGTTGAGCTGGGGGCCCAGCTTGGTGGAACAGGTGACGAATTCCTCAACGGGGTAGCGATGAGGCTGTTGTCCGTAGCCGAAGGCCAAGGCGCCCGAGCCCATGGCCAGGAGGGAGACGGCGGCGTTGATCTTGACCATTGTGATGGGATGGAGTGGGAGTTGGACTGCTGCTACTAGGGGGAGAGAGAGAGAGACAGTTGGCGGAAGGGAGGTCGAGGACGAGAAGCAACCTGACTTGAACTATTTATTGCATTCTACTCTGGCAACTGATTTTCATCACTAGTCTTTATGTGTTCGTCAACAGTTGATCTCGTCTCCTCCTTGCCTCTTGCCCACGATGGCTTCAACTCGACTACTACTACCAGGGCCATGCGGTCAAGGTCCATCCCTGGCAGCTGAAATCCAGATCGTCCACTTCCAACGCCATCTCCACAGTCCCCGAATCGGCAAATCCATCCGCAAGACTATTTGCTGTGCTTATGCCAATAGCCAAGTCTCCGGCGCAGCTGAAAGAGCCTGTTAGCGTTCTCTCAGGTGAAGCTACTGGCGTTGGGCTCTGCTGTAGATGCGGGTGGGACGAGAGTCTAGATGCTGCGGGCCCCCCTTTTTGGATTCTTCCTTCGTCGGCAGGAGATTTCGCCTCTGCGGGTGGCTGCAGCGCCACCAGGGGTGCGTTCGTGGGCATTCGCGTCCTCCGGGGCCACGGGAACGGCACTTGTAAGCGCCGGATTTAAGATCGATACTGCGCCTCGTTCTGTATTCTCGGCAACGACGAGATGGTGGGAGCATTTTGCGTAGTATCATGGGCACCTTGTGCACTTCAGGCCGGAACCGAGAGTTTGGGTTCGGCCACCATTTCCGCAGAGCCGGGACGTGGGCGGTTTGACTGGGATCGCCATTGTCCGGTTCTCAGCCGCACAATCGCCTTGCAGCTTCACCGGACGCATTAGAGCACACAGCTCTGGCATCTGGTTCCTTGTGACCTTGTTGCTCAATTGTTCATGTTGTTGTCATGGACTTGCAGATCTTGAGTCCATCGACTTACAGCTAATATTGTTCAGTTAATGATAGGCAGAGGCTGGGCCACGCAACGCGAACTAGAGACTTTGGCTGCAGATGCAAAGGAGGTACTCTATTAGGGCGCCGCGTCCGTTGACTTAGATCGGTGAGCATCAGGGCTAGTATCGCCTTGCATATCGAACCATTGTGTCCCATCAAACCATGTTCTGGATGGATCGGATCTGGGCCACATGCCTGCGGACTACAAGCTCTTTTCGGTTCTCAGCTCGTCGGATTGGAGAGTAGAATTCCTTCTGAAAAACGCATGACTGGTCAGCACCTCGGCTATAGACACAGAGTCGAGGCACCGCAGACAGGAACATCACATCCGGTAACTGGTTGTCCATACAGATATGAACAATGTTCCTCCTCAACTGACAATTGGTTGATCAGAGAGGAAGAGAAGCCAAACTGTGAGAGCAAAAAATTCAGCTACACCAGGGCCTATCATTGAGTGAACCACAAAATCCTCCTCTTACAATACCTCTAGGTCATATGGTAAGGAAGCTAAGATATGTGCTGCCGTTCTAGGAGCATGTTTTTTTGCGGCAACACCGATGATGCTGTTGTACACACATAGATAAGAATCCGGCAGTCCAATCGTTCGTAATATGCTTTCATATCGAAGTATTCCAATTGTTTCCACAGCCTGTGCTATCATCGTCTGTCAAGGAAATTGATTGCGAATTCGTGATATCTACCTTTAACCATGTCTACTAACCCTATCTTGGAAAACTACCTGGGTAAGATCTACTCTCACTACCTTATACATTTAGCTAGAGTCAGGTGTAACTGTGCTTTCGGTTATCGATGCTCAGACTCTGTCTACCAAACTCGAACCTGCATCGACTCAAAAGGTAAATAAGCATGATAGTATAAATGAACTCCCTACAAAAGCACTCGATCTGACACTTGATCTAAGCGGTCAAGCAGTGTGTTTTGAATGCAACCATAACGATGTCCGTCCTATTCTACAGCGGCCGAGCAGTATCTTTTTGAGGCCGAGGTTTGAAAAGGACGCTACCTTTGTCGTTTCCTCTCACTTGCTGGTCGACGAAAGTTTCAACGCCAGCATGTCATTCAGTAACTTCTCATGGCGGGCCTGTGAGGCATATTGGACACTCGCTCCGCCAGCTTCAAGCAGAAGGCTTACTATTTTCGTTATACTGGTGCATTTAGACGAGCTATCACCTCCTTATGCCATCTAGGGCTCGTTTGACACCGTCGCTTGTTTAGCTATACAAGATAAACTGGACCGGCCCATCTTTCCCAGTCTTTCAGTAACCAGTTATCGACTAGGTCGGGCCTTTTATCTGTTTCTGAATTGAAATATTTATGTAAAGACTGAGTGAGAGGCAACCAAGTAAGCAGACAAACTACGGGCGAGTAGCGATACCTTGTAAAACGGTTCACCACAGCCGGACACCTGACTTGTACTCAGGCATGTTAGGTGAGCAAGGGTGTTCCCGACTGCGAATATAACTTCTCACGTACGATGCTGGTCCGTACCATCGTAAAGATGAGAAGATTGCTATGGAAGTCGCCGTGAGGGGGAGTTGCAGAAGGCGAAGATGATACGATACAGATCATGGCATCTGAGCTCGACAGGTGTGAGAACAACAATAACAACAACGCTCCATGGGGCTGCCGCGGGTACGGCGCCGCAACTGATATCTACAACTGCATCGTCAGCTATACAGGAGAGGCCGATAGAGACACCTTGAATGAGACACTTGTTGGTACTTCCGCTGCCTGGTCACTTGGCCTTGAGTTTGAGTCCAGTGTCAGGGATGTCATTGACGTAGCCTGCCTCAATGCAACCGACTGGGGTCACTGGGCCATCAACTCGTTGTTTGATGCTGTAGTCAACGAGCAGATCAACCGGTTTATATACGCCAGTTTAACATATCACAAATAGTGACATGACGTGACAAGCTTTACTGTACAAAAGGAAGTTTATCCAGGCGTTCAGGACGCATTTGGTAGCTGACCAAGGGTCTTACATCGTTTGCGAGGAGCAAGCGACCTGACGGGCATAACCCAATGCATAATGGGAGAGAAATATCTAAGACGAACATTAACACAATATTAGATGTGCGTGCGATTTGGTCGGGGGCTTGTTATCCTTCATTGGCATAATGTTCATGACGCGGACAACGTTGGAAGTGAATGGGCAGGACTATCGGACGTCAGTCTGCCCTTATATTCTATGGATTGGGAAGTTGAGCTCATATCGCGATTCAAATGTATGTAGTCAGGCATCCATTCACCACAATCATGCTGATCTGCCTTGTCATCGAGGGGCTCGTTTGCAGGACCAACCAAGAGCACCTTGTGTGAATAATATCAAGGCTGAGAAGGGCAGATTCCGCAGAGACAATAGTCAGCCGTACTTCGTACTTAATGTGGCAAATTCTATCCAATAGACTCAGGGAGGCGCTGCCAAGTATAAGCCGCCAGAATGCCTTATACCTGCATGCACAGGCGTTGCGGCACACCCGTCGATTGGACAGTCAAGAGCCGCGCTAATGTGACACGTCGGTGGTGAAGCGGCTGAATATTTGCTTGTGTTACGTAGGTTTTCAGGTTGCTGAAGTATGCCTGATGCCCACAGATATATCAGTTGCCAAATCGCTTGGGGGGAAGTAGTGGAAATGCCAACCGCGCATTTCACAAGCCGTCATCGCCAGGTTTGCGTTGAACTACACACGAATATTCACCTCAGATCGTGACGATGGCGCCAACAGCTGCTGCTGGAGGCGTCATGTCGCCCGAGCAGATAGTAATTACCGAGGCCAAGTCACTGTTCCTTCAGCTCAGCAGCGGAGGCCAGCTCTTCAAGGACTGCGTCAGCCAGGCACGGAGCGTCTCCCATCTTGTCCAGTACGTCGAAGGGGAGAATCGCAAATATAAAAGAAAGTCATCAACCAGATTACTGGAGACGTTTCAGAAAAATACAGAAGGATTGCAGTCGCTTTCATCAGTGATTGAGCTTGCGGTGCAGGCGAAGGCGGATTGCCTGTGTCCGCTATGGGCTCCGGTCAAATTCATTCTTCAGGTGAGCGCAGCTCGATACTCCAGCAAAGTGTCGCGACTCAGGAAGAAAGTGAAACACGACAATCCTGACCAACTTTAGGTATCCAAGTCTCATTCACTGGTTGTGCGCAGCATTACAGCCATGGTGCAAGTTCTGACGGAGAACCTCTCGCGGATTGAGCTCTATCAAAATCTTCGAAACGATCCGGATATGCAGAGAGAGCTGCTACGCATCTTCAATGACGTGACGAGTCTCTGCGTCAAAGCCCTCGCCTTCTTTCAACGCCGCACTCTCGGTATGTGATGGCTGTTAGGCTGGATAAGAGGAGGTCGTTCACTGATGAGAGAAACCAGTTCGAATCTGGAAGCTGATTGTCAACCCTCCTGGAAAAGACTTTCAAAACTTCATTGATCAACTCAAGTCTGATATGCAAGGTGTACACAATGCAGCCGTTGCTATCGAGCTGGCCAAACAACACGGTATGTGCTCGAGCCCGCTGATTGGCTTCCGGTCCTGTACTGACGCTGTCCGCAGAGTATCGCCGGGAACAAGATCGTCTGACCATCATCAACAGCCTGGGGGCGACAAACGTAAGAGAAGTGCATCAGCGAAAGGTCAAAGCCAAGGCACCCAACACGTGTGAATGGTTTCTTTCGAACCCAACCTTTGTCGCCTGGGAGTCGTCGTCAAGTCAAGAAGCCTCGGAACGCTTCTTATTCATCTCAGGGAAAAGCGGCTGCGGTAAGAGCATTCTCGCGGCGTCCATTATAGAAACTTTCAAGCAGCAAAAGAAGGAAACAATGTACTTCTATTTCTCTGGCCTTGAGACTAGCCGGCAAGACGCAGACAGCCTGGTTCGATGGTTCTTGCTCGATGTTCTACCGTCAACGACGGACGAAACAGTGCAGATGATTAAGTTACTCTTCGCAAAGGGTAATCCAACGTCGTCGGAGCTCCGGAGAGCATTGTCCATAATCATGGCGACATTGCCCACGCCTCTATACCTCGTCATTGACGGTATCGATGAAGTTCAGGGGCAGGTTGGCGATTTATTCGTCCAATTGCGCGGCATCATCGACAAATCTCCTCTCACCAAGGTTATTCTTATTGGCAGGCCGCATGCGTTTGAAAGGCAGGCTTCAGCTTACTGGATCCGCATATCCAATGAACTCCTACAGGCAGACATCAGGACCTTTATCGCAACCGAAACACAGAGAAGTGCACTCCTGCAGCAGCCGAATATCCACGAGAGGGTCATCAAGGAACTCTTGGAGAAAGCCGATGGCATGTTTCTCTGGGCGAGGCTGTCGATCAACGAGTTATGTGGTGCTTATTCTCAAGACGACGTCAAACAGATATTGAAGCGTCTGCCCTTGGGGATGGAGAACGCTTTCAATCGCATCCTGCAGGAGATTGTCACCTCCAGTGGGGAGACCGAGATACAGCGCGCAAAGTATATTCTGACCATTCTCGTCGTGTCTGCCAGAGCATTGGAGTTGAGAGAGCTTCAACACGCCTGTGCCGTGGCAACTCAAATGAACCAGGATGAATTTGAGAGGGAACCCCTTGATGCATACAAGGGCCCTGATCCAGCAACAATGTTCTTACGATCTTGCCGAGGGTTGATCAGCATCGAGAACGGCATAGTGGGCCTGGTTCATTTGACAGCCAGAGAATATCTTGTCAGGCCCGCAGTTCAATGGGACTCACGGATCTCGATTCTACGGGTTGATGCAGCGGCAGCTCACGGGTTTCTCGCCAATGTCTGCCTTGAGACCATCACAGGCTCGGGATTTGAGTGGTTCCGTCAACGTGAAGGCTTGTTCATTCCACAAAGCCTCGAGTATCCTCCTCTCTTCTCCTATGCCATCAAGTTCATGGCATATCATTTCAACAGATGGGAAGATACTGACCCAGTAACGGCAGCTCGAATAGAGAGCTTTTTCGTCACTCACGGAATCTCCTGGGTTGAACTGCTTGTCGTGTCGTGCTTCGCAGCCGGGCAGAACACGGTGACAACGAGGGAGTTTCTGGACATTGCTGCATGGCTGACGGATGACCCAATCGACGGAAGGAAGAAGATGAGTATGCTCATAGAACAAGTGAAACAGAAGTGTGAGGAATATGACGGGAATCACTGGCAGTCCCAACGACTGCATCTGTTAGGCAACGTCTTCAGATTCGTCGCGGAAGTCGATTTGACCGCATCTCGAAGGAATATGTCACCTTCTCAGGGCAATACGACATTTGCAAGGAGGAGCCCGATAACAATGGTGCAAGAAGATCTCTCCCAAGTCGTTCACTTGCTGGCGGAGCACGCTTCGCTGTCTCTGCCTAAACAGGGTGATCTGGTGACGAAGCTCGGGAAATTGTTTCGCAAGGGACAGGCGAAGAACTTGTTGAGTCCGTTCGACCTCCTGTTTCGCTTATTCAAGAGCAAAATCAACAACTTCCCGACCATTCTGCTGTTTGGATTCGGCGAGCTATCTCGAAGTCTCCAAAGACCGCATAATGCCCTCGAAATATTCAATACTGTGCTATCAAGACTCGGCGACGACGAGGAAGAGCTGAAGTATAAAGTCTGGGAACTTATCGGGCGCGCATATAGCAGCCTCAAGGATTATGAGAGAGCTTATCATGCGCATCATACTGCCTGGACTGGGCGACGCAACATGTTCGGCCCCAAGCACAAGGACATAGCGAGCAGTGCACATTTAATGGGAATCTCGCTATACAGGCAAAAAAATTACGCCGAGGCTGAGGCACATATGCGACAATCCCTGTCCATGGAAATGGAACTATTTGGGCTCAAACACAAAGAGACAGCGCTCAGCATGTATTGGTTGGGCCTCGCCATACTTCGGCAGACCAGATACCCAGAGGCAGAAGTTTGTTTCCAACAGTCCTCGTCCATGATGGTGGCGGCATATGGAAAGCAACACAGATTTACAGCGGCGAGCATAGAGAATGTCGGGCACTCTCTCTTTTGTCAGGGTAAGTTTGTTCAAGCAGAATTTCATCTCCGGCGAGCCGCTGCTATACATGTGGCTGCGGATACACCTCACCAAGAAACAGCAAGGTGTCTCAGTGCCCTTGGTCAAACGCTATATGAGCAAAAGAAGTTTATGCAGGCAGAGGAACAGTTTCGCCGCAGCAGAAAATTGATGGCCCAGGATGGTCTTGATCTGGGCGATCGAAAGGCTCAACTGACCTCGTTGTTGTTGGCCCAGACACTGTGCCATCAGGGAAAGTTTGCCAATGCAGAGAGTGTTCTTCGGTCCTCGTTTGCGATTTCCCCCAGAAACATGAAGGCAGATGGCCTGGAATTTGCCGCTTTATTGTGGCTCGCACGAGTACTGCACTACCAGCAGAAGAATTGCGAAGCTGACAGCATTCTCAACGCTTTACTCCCTCCGAGAGGACAGAAGGGCAACTTCTATCATGAATACGCATTGACTATTGTATTTTTCTTAGGACGAATCTTCAATGCCCAGGAGAGATATGCCGAAGCGGAGAGTATCCTGCGGCAGGTGGTTGTCGAAGAATACAGAAGCATGAACGGTTCAGCAACAACCTGTAGTACTGCCGTGTCCGAAACTTTCCAGGAGCGTGTATCATATGAGCATGACATCGATGCCGAGCTCGCAGAGGAGATGGATCACGGAAGTGAAGCAGCTGAGGAGGAGCAAGAGAAATTTGGAGGAACACAAAACGATGAGGGAGGGTCGGACATAGCCACGGAAAGCGAGGCCGAGGCCGACCACGGGAAAGACTCTGGATTCTCCGAAATCTGGGACCACTGCAACATTCACCATATTTTCAAAGAGTATGACACGACAGGCCGGCATTTGGAGCGGCAAGGAAAGGTAGCTGAAGCCGAAGAAGTATATCAGCTTCTGAAGTTAGTGGGCTGGACGTCAAGTCGATCGGGCAATTGACAGGCTTTCTGACGATATCGCACATCATGTCCCGGGGGAAAAGGGACAGTAGGACACTTGCATCCGCTCAGAAGACAAAGCTTCCAGGCACATCTCGAGTAACAGCTCGGCTTTCAGAAGCAAGCAGTCAGACATCAATGGATAGCCAGCCTCGCATAAAAAGGAACTTATTGGACTGAACCATGAGTGAACTGACTACACAGTCAATAGACCGAATTGACCGAATTCACCGAGTCGACGTAGGTGCACGACAGGTCAAGAGCGACAGGGAAAGGAAGCCATACCCGAAGAGCCACATTGGCTTCTGAAGCTAGCAGGGGATGTAAGTCGATCAGGCAGTCAAGTTCGAGTCAAGACTGGCGATACCTGATGAAGGTATATGACACAGGTTGCAGTTCTTTTCGATGATGTTACACATCAATCTCGGGGGAAAGGGGTGTAAGGGCACTTACGCATATCTCAAGTAACATCTCAATGGTCAGAAGCACGGAGTTTAACGTCCTCAACGGTCAACCGACGTAGCACCAAGTTGTACTCAGAAGACCAGCTCTTGGAGCTCATTCTCGACTTACACCACGCTAAGTGCTGTCTCAAGTGATGAGTCAACGGAGTTAATGCCGTGATCCCCATCGGAAGAGCTTCATCTCGGCAGCATGCATTAGTCCAGCCTCATGCATGACATCCACGTGTCCCCCTCCACGCAATCAACCACTCTCGCAATTGACTCTACTACTACTACTACAATGACTCTAACAAAGAGGCCGCCCCTTCGCTTATGACAAAGTTGACCACATTCAGCCTCAATAACAAGAAAACCAAGCTTTCCACAAAGCGTGACGTCGAAACCTGTATTCTTAGTGCCTCCTTCATCCCTGCAGAAGGATTGCTTGTGGCGCCGCTAGGCATCTATCTTCTGGCCATACAGTCCCGCGGCTTCATGCCTGGCGCTTCGTGCTACTGATCGTAGTACTTGGTGGACAATTTGCTAGTCGGCAGTGACGCGTTGGTTTCACCTCCTTGCGTCGACAAGTCGCACAGGAGAGGAGGAGAGCTCGGGGGTTGTACAGCTTGCCTGAGGCTCGAATACAATACGTAGGTAGGTTGGGCCACGATGGCCTCTAAATTTACGGGTATATATAGGTAGTTCACGTATCGCTGCCGTCTACTCTATGTCTCTCATCCTTTCAGCAACTCTTATAATCATCATCATCATTCTCCTTTCTCTCATTCATCCAGTGATACCCTTTCCAATTCCCATCATCATGGCACCTCTCAAAGCCCTCATCATCGGAGGCGGCGTCGCCGGCCCAGCAGCAGCATACTGGCTCCTCCGCCTCGGCGCACACATCACCCTCGTCGAACGAGCCCCCCAGATGCGCGCTTCAGGCCAACAAGTCGACCTCCGCGGCCAAGGCGTGCCCCTCATGAAGAAGATGGGCATCGAAGAGGCCGTGCGAGCCGCCACCGTCCACGAGCCCGGCATGCAGCTCATCGACCGCAGCGGCAAGACAAAGGCCTTCTTTCCCGTCGCAGAAAGCGGCTCGGGCAGGCAAGGCTTCACGTCAGAATACGAAATCATGCGAGGGGATCTAGTCAGGATCCTGTACGCACTTACAGAGAACCACCCCAACGCGCGGCATCTGTTCAACACCACCGTCAAGAGCTTCACTCAAGACGACGAGAGTGATGCCCATGGCAAGGTCCACGTCACTTTCCAAGACGACCACCAGGAAGACTTTGATCTCGTCATCGGCGCAGACGGAACCGGCTCCTGGACGCGCAGAATCATGCTCGGCGACGGCGCCCCGGATCCTCGGCGCTCCATGGGGGGTTACATCGGCTACTTCAGCGTCCCCACGCGTCCCGGCGACTCGGACCGGGCGACCTTTTGTCACTTGCCCGGGTCGCGCATCATCGGAACGAGAAAGGACGTCCCCGAGCTGACGCGGGTGTACATGATGTTTCGCGGGAAGAAGCCCGACCTTGACGCGGCGCTCGAATCCGGAGACCAGGCGAGAATCAAGAAAGCCTTGGCTGATTTGTATCAGGGGGGTGGATGGGAATGCGACCGCTTCACGGATGCGCTTCTCCATGCTCCCGAGGCAGACGATCTCTACATCACGCCCATCCAAGAAGTGCATCTTCCCCCAGGATCGTGGTCCAAGGGCCGAGTCGTCCTTCTCGGAGACGCGGCTCACTGCCATACAGCAGGCGGCTACGGATGCGCCTGGGGCTTAGTAGGAGCCTATGTGCTAGCAGGAGAGATCGCAAAGCAGTTGACAAAGGGCGACTCATCACCGTCAGCGGCCATCATCCAGGGAGCCAAGAATTACGAGCAAGTGTTTCGGCCCGTTGCCACATCCATGCATGGCGGCTACGAGTGGTTTGAGGACCTACTCATGCCCAAAACGACTCTCGGCATCTGGGCAATTCATGCGTTTGCGAGAGTGGCCGCATGGCTTCGTTTGGGCGAGATGAGCGGCTTGGATGAGATGACTACGAAATGGCAGCTGCCCGAATACCTAGAGCTGGACGAGGATAGAGGCAGAGCGGCGTTGTAAGCATCTTGGTTGGCATGCAATCGATGCTCTTCTTTCTTGTATAATAGATAATCCCCCATCAATGAATGTACTCTAATGTAATCTCCTGGAATTCAACACCCCATTCTCTTCTCTCAACTTTCTTGTAAGACAATGTTCCGTAAAGCTCAGCTGACTGCAACTGGCGCTCGTAATGATGGAGGTGACCACAGGTATGAATGATATCCATCTCTCACCAAAGAAGCCCCGTCTGTCGCATCGACTACTACCACGAGCGTGCCATTCCCTCTTTGCGCCACGAGGCTCCCCTATTCTCCCTCACTGGAACGTAGCAAGCCAATTCCACACTGCCAACCTGAGTCCCTCCTGCGTCGCAATGCCAACGGTGAGGTTTCTTCCCTACATGTCCTCGCCTTCCTCACGGCTCATCGTCACACGAAATGCGATATCGGTAAGACCCCCCTCTCCATAGAGCAACTCGCGGTCTCTCAACCAGTGAAAGAGACATGAGCCGCATGCACTCCGGACGCCAAACGTGTTGAGCTCAATCAAGCTGCACTGATTCGCATCCCCGTCATAAAACACGTCAAAGGTGAACCCCTGGCTGCGAATTACCTTCTGCAGCTCGCCATCTTCCTGCGCTTGCATAAACTCAATAATATCTTCATGCACCCTCTCGATACAGCCGGTAATCCTCTGAGCCCGATCTCCCATCATGTCTCTGTTCTCCTCGGCATAGATCCATGGCTTGTGCCATTCGTATTGACTGACGGCGGTGATGCGGAGCGACTCGGGGCAGCAAAAGACGCGGTATTCTCGTGACGACTGCAGTCTAGAGTCAAACGGGAGGAAATAAGCATGAGTCTCTTCCGCATCGCTGTTAAGAACATTGGTCAGGGCGCTCCAGGTCCTAAGTGAAGTCGTCATGCGAAGCACAATGTCCTCCACGGAATGGAACGCGAGGACGCCAGGTGTTGCGGGCGCGCCATCCTTTGGCGAGCACGCTCCCAGGCGCACGAAGAGTCCCTCGGGCGGAAATTTGAGCGACTGGAATGCAGGGTAGACTTCTTCTTGCAGGTCTTCGGCGTAGGATCGGTTGAGCACACGCGTGTGGATAGAGGCGGCGGCAGCCTTGGCCAGAAGCTCGATCTGCGGACGGCGAAGGACGATAACCTGGAGGTCCGAAGCTGCAATGCCCCGCGACCTGAGTATCAGGGGCAGCCAGATGTCGTAGCTGAACGGTTTGTTGGACGGGATCGGATAGCCTGGTGCCTCTGCGGCGGTGTGGAAGTTGGTGTTGTAGTGGACTGTGATGCCATTCTCCAGATCTTGCTGGACGTGCTTGTAGTCGACGACGTGGATGTTGAGAGGCATATTGCTGTTTGATGGGCTGTTGAATGGTGGTGTTCCCAAGGAGCAATGCAATATGGTGCTGTCTGATACGGCAGTGCTGTGTTAATGGAGTGTGATTGATTGTTTACAAGTTGTCAGTGTTGACAGCCGATATTAAACCTCGACGCGGGCATGTAAGACCTCATTTTGCCGTCAAGCAGGAGACACCGGGTGACTCAGGCAACTATATCCTAGGTAGATTGTGATGAATAAAGCAGCCGCATGTGTCACTTCAAGGAACTAGCTTTCTGAATCTCCATTGGTGTTTGTTTCCCCAAGGGCAAGTTTGTTCGAGGTTGCTCTGTCTGAATTCCAGATATGACTCGGAAGCGCAGTGCCTCGTATTTGCCTTTTGGCCATTATCGTGAGTCGTCTGCTTACATGTACCTTATGACTCATCTCAGGGCAAAGAGTGAGCAGTCGCTAAAAGGCGGCAAAGACTCAGACAATCGAGTTATCCTGGGGACTTTGCAGGGCTGGTGTCTACCCTAGAGCGGCAGTTATACATGACGATGATAAGTGAACGAAGAGGCGACGAACAGACGGACAAGAAGACTTGCTGATCAACTGACATCTGACACATACCTATCAACCCGTGTGTCACCCAACGTGGGATCTAGATCAGAGGAGCGAAAGTCTATCAATCCTGATGTGAGTCTAATCGGACGTATAGCCAACTGCATCTCACACGACCCTGTTACTGTTTGTCTTACAATGCGACGGAATATCCTAAAAGATGCACCTTGAGGAGAGTCAACAGCACGACAGGTAAACAACGCGGAACCGCCGAGCATGAACAGCGAGCCATGTCCTTGCAAGTGGCCTCTCCAGCCCGCAGTGACCGTCCAGTCGGGCCGGCATAGTGGTGCAACTCCATGCAGGCACAGCTCGAGCTATACCTGGGGGAGTTGCATGAGATTCCACGCTTTTCCACGGTCTGATCGTAGCTGTTGTTACTCAATTGAGTCTTTCCAGCCTATCGCTGTAAGCATGCATCACCGATTCTGGATACGTACTACTACAAGTATGTCCCTCTTCTTGAACCCCCGTCAGCAGGATTGCATCCTCCGCATCGGATGTTCTCGAAGCCTCATGGCTGACCAGGTTGTTATTCGCCTGACCATACAAGCACAGCTGACCCTTCGGACGGCATTGCCGTTGCCATTCCCCAATCCGGCTATCTCGGTATGGTACAGTACATACATGTACATACATGATGCAGACGCAGACCGGGCCTCTCCCATTAGGAACTTTTGCCCGCCATCTCGCCGGCGCCAAAGCCCAGGCACAGGCACAGGACAAGGCTTCCTTGCATAGGGCAACTTGCCAGGGCAGATCATCACGACGACGAGGCGCAAGAAGCATGTCACTCCTCACCGAAACCGGCGTCTGCATTGCATTAGCTACGGTGCTCCCTCTCACTACAAGTGGCTCCCTCAAATCTCTCGTGTAAAGACTTGCTTGACATGCCGGCTCAACATCCGCAGCGGCGGGTTGTGTGCCATGGCGGGCTCTATGGCTCTATCGGCCCTATTCCCGGCTCGCTGCCGTTGTGTCTGGGGCATCTTTGTGGGGTAATTCGCCGGAACTGCTCAGCAGCCTTGTCGATATTTGCGAGGATGCGGGTTCATGATCGTGGAGACGGTACGTAATTAGCGTCAGTGCTTTTGCCTGTCTCTCGGGGAAAACTAATACTATACTATCACAGAGACGGATGCTGTCAGTGTCGTTGGGTCAAGGACTACTCACATGGAAGCTTGGATGACGGCTAAACGGGAGTGACGACATGACTTCCCCTGCTGGAGCCAAGTCGAGTCGAGTCGATATGCAAGGCGACGATGGTTGGAAGACTCCGAACGGGGGAGGATGGGGATCCCGGCCAGGCTCCAGTTTCTCCGTATGACAGAACCACGCACCCCAGCCTTGTCCCCAGCATATACCCTGCCCTCCCCATTCCCTCTCCCCACGCGATGTCACCGAAGTGATGCCAAAGACGGTGATCTACATGGCGAGGTACCAACGATGGGGGGGCTGGGAGCTGGACAACTTAAATACCAGGCATGATGCCGCATATCCAGCGTCTCGATGGAACCCCAGCTCGTGTCTGCATGCAGTTGCGACACTTCGTAGGCGGACGTCTTGCGTTGTTTCTTGTCCGGAGAGGTCTCCAATTGGCGTTTGTGTTTCCCTTGTAAAAGGCAGTTGAAAAGGGCTGCACAATGCGGTCGACAGTGAGTGGCCCATGATGTGCCTCACGTTGGAAAGGGGGCACGTAAACACTTGCAATCAATGCTAACATTTGAACTCTGTTGCTCTCAGGTCACTTCTGCGGCGGCGCTGCTGTCGCTGCTTCAGCTTGTTTCTCCGGTCCATGGCACAACACTCGTTGACCGCGTCACCAAGTGTCTCAGCAGACACGACGGCTCAGACGCGGAATCCCACTTCAGCAAAAACGTCTACAAGACCGACTTCGCCGGCGTAACGTGGGACGAGGACAACTGGCTGCTCAGCACGACGCAGCTCAAGCAGGGCGCCTTCGAGGCCCGCGGCTCCGTGGCCAATGGCTACCTGGGCATCAACGTCGCCAGCGTCGGGCCCTTTTTCGAGGTCGACACCGAGGAGGACGGCGATGTCATCAGCGGCTGGCCCCTGTTCTCGAGGCGGCAGTCGTTTGCGACCGTTGCCGGCTTCTGGGACGCGCAGCCGCAGATGAACGGGACCAACTTCCCGTGGCTCTCGCAGTACGGCTCCGACACGGCCATCAGCGGCATCCCGCACTGGAGCGGCCTCGTCCTGGACCTCGGGGGCGGCACGTACCTCGATGCCACGGTCAGCAACAAGACCATCTCCCACTTCCGCTCGACCTACGACTACAAGGCCGGCGTGCTGAGCTGGTCGTACAAGTGGACGCCCAAGGGCAACAAGGGCTCCTTTGACATCTCGTACCGCCTCTTTGCCAACAAGCTGCACGTGAACCAGGCCGTCGTCGACATGCAGGTCACCGCGTCCAAGAACGTGCAGGCGTCCATCGTCAACGTCCTCGACGGCTTTGCTGCCGTGCGCACCGACTTTGTCGAGTCCGGCGAGGACGGCAGTGCCATCTTCGCGGCGGTGCGGCCAAATGGCGTCGCCAACGTCACGGCCTACGTCTATGCTGATATCACCGGATCTGGAGGCGTCAACCTGTCGAGCCGCAAGATCGTGCACAACAAGCCGTATGTACACGCCAACGCATCGTCCATTGCACAGGCTGTCCCCGTCAAGTTCGCCGCCGGACGCACCGTGCGGGTGACCAAGTTTGTGGGAGCCGCCTCCTCTGATGCCTTCAAGAACCCCAAGCAGGTCGCCAAGAAGGCAGCCGCTGCAGGCCTCAGCAATGGATATACCAAGTCCCTCAAGGCGCACGTCGAGGAATGGGCCACCGTCATGCCCGAGAGCTCCGTCGACAGCTTCGCCGACCCCAAGACGGGCAAGCTCCCTGCCGACAGCCACATCGTGGACTCTGCCATCATTGCAGTCACCAACACCTACTATCTGCTGCAGAACACGGTGGGCAAGAATGGCATCAAGGCAGTCGACGGAGCCCCGGTCAACGTGGACAGCATCTCCGTCGGCGGACTGACGTCGGACTCGTATGCCGGCCAGATCTTCTGGGACGCCGACCTCTGGATGCAGCCCGGCCTGGTGGCCGCTCACCCGGAGGCCGCCGAGAGAATCACAAACTACCGCCTCGCGCGATACGGCCAGGCCAAGGAGAACGTCAAGACGGCCTATGCGGGCTCCCAGAACGAGACCTTCTTCTCGGCCTCTGCGGCCGTGTTCCCGTGGACCAGCGGCCGGTACGGCAACTGTACCGCTACTGGCCCCTGCTGGGACTACGAGTACCATTTGAACGGCGACATTGGCATTTCTCTGGTCAACCAGTGGGTGGTGAACGGTGACACCAAGGACTTTGAGAAGAATCTCTTCCCAGTGTACGACTCGGTTGCCCAGCTGTACGGCAACCTGCTCCGGCCGAACAAGACGTCGTGGACACTGACCAACATGACCGATCCTGTACGTTTGATTGATTATTCCTGACACGCATTGGCTAACACTTTGAACAGGATGAATATGCAAACCACGTCGACGCCGGTGGATACACCATGCCGCTCATCGCAGAGACGCTCCAAAAGGCCAACAGCTTCCGCCAGCAGTTTGGCATCGAGCAGAACAAGACGTGGAACGACATGGCGTCCAACGTCCTGGTTCTTCGCGAGAACGGGGTGACGCTCGAGTTCACGGCCATGAACGGAACCGCAGTGGTCAAGCAGGCCGATGTGATTATGCTCACCTACCCCCTGAGTTACGGCACCAACTACAGCGCGCAAGATGCTCTCAACGACCTCGACTACGTGAGTCTGCCCTTACGTTCAAGCTGATAATGAGCTACCTACGTATATTGCCATGCTAACAATCTTCTGCCTGCAGTATGCCAACAAGCAATCGCCCGACGGACCGGCCATGACATATGCCTTCTTCTCCATCGTCGCCAACGAAATCTCTCCCTCGGGCTGCTCGGCCTACACGTACGCGCAAAACGCCTTCAAGCCCTACGTCCGCGCCCCCTTCTACCAGATATCCGAGCAGCTCATCGACGATGCCAGCGTCAACGGCGGCACGCACCCTGCCTACCCGTTCCTCACCGGCCACGGCGGCGCCCACCAGGTCGTCCTCTTTGGCTACCTCGGCCTCCGGCTGGTGCCAGACGACGTCATCCACATCGAGCCCAACCTGCCCCCTCAGATCCCGTATCTGAGATACAGGACGTTTTACTGGCGCGGCTGGCCCATCTCGGCCTGGTCCAACTACACGCACACGACCCTCAGCCGCGCCGCCGGCGTTGCTGCGCTCGAGGGGGCGGACCAGCGGTTTGCTCGCAAGCCCATCACCATCCACGCCGGCCCCGAACAGGACCCAACAGCGTACCGGCTGCCCGTCAA